ATGGCCATCACGCTCGCACCTGCCGACCGCCGCCACGGCGGCGAGACGCCTTCTCCGCCACCGCGGCGCCGGCCACAGGCCAGCGCTAGGCAGCTGCCGGCCACACTGGGCCGGATTTTGCCGGTAACCGTCGCCGCACACTCCTACGTCCACGCCGCTGTGACGTCTGGCGACGAGGCGCCGGCCGCCAAGCTTCATCGCCAACGTGGTCGCTCGCTGGTCCTCTCGGCTCGGCCACGCGTCGGCCCAGCTCACACGAGCTCCAGACAGCCACCAGTCGCCACGCGCAAAGCGTACGGGTCGCCGGCTCCCTGTTGTGCTCTCACGCTGGCCGGCGTAAAACTGTGCTGGCAGTTGTCATGCCGTACCCGTCGCGTTTCGAAAGGGAGCCCTCAATCGACGCGTCTACACGCACCGTGCCACCGCTCTCCACAACTGCTACCGTGGACATCAAGCTCCTCGACTCGATCTGCGGCTACGACGGCGCTCTAGCTGCTGGCTCTCGCGGGTGTCTGGCGACCCGCTCAGGCTTGCGAAACGGCCGCCCGCGGCGACGTGTTCGAGCTCGCTGGCCTTCTCCGCGCGGCTGGGCCCGCCCCTAGTCGGGGCCGACCCGCCCAGTCACTGGGCAGCGCGTGCGCCGTCATCCTGGACGACGGTGTGCCGATGCATCCGGGAGGCTCCGCGGGGCTGCTCTAGCAGCCTCGGGAGGGTCGAAAATCGAAGCCGGAGCGGCGGACCACGGAAGCTCCACGGACGGTGAGGCGGGCTGTGGTTGACCCCCCCTGACCGGGTGAGGGAGTGGCGCCCCGGGAGTGCCGCTCCGGCGACGTCTGTGGCCTCCACGGTACCGTGACCGCGGTGCTCGCTCTCGCGGCCGTCTCGCGACCCGCTCGAGACGAAAACCGGAGCGGACGGTGCGACGAACCGCGAGTGGGATGGTCTGCTCCGCGCGGCTGGGCCCGCCCCTAGTCGGGGCCGACCCGCCCAGTCACTGGGCAGCGCGTGCGCCGGCGTTCTGGACGACGGTGTGCTGGTGCATCCGGGAGGCTTCGCGGGGCTGCTCTAGCAGCCTCGGGAGGGTCGAAAATCGAAGCCGGAGCGGCGGACCACGGAGGCTCCACGGACGGTGAGGCGGGCTGTGGTTGGCCCCCCCTGACCGGGTGAGGGAGTGGCGCCCCGGGAGTGCCGCTCCGGCGACGTCTGTGGCCTCCACGGTACCGTGACCGCGCCGGCCTCGCTCGGGAGGCTCTTTCGGAGCCGTCGGCCTCCGAAACCGTCGCGTTGCTGCGCCTGGACGGCTTCGATGCTCGCCAAACCCGTCGGCACCGTTCATATACACATGAATTGTGAGTGAACGCGCATTTTTTGGCGATTTCATTCGCATATGCCGAAATGTTAGTTTCGATCTAGTCCTCACGGACACAAAACAGAGGCCTCCTAGCACGGAGAAGCGACTAAGAGTCGCCGACGTGCGAATGAAATCGCCGAAAAATACGCCCGGAATCACAATTGATCCCGTCGACAAGGCGCCCCAATCGCGGAGGTCTGGCGCGGGCGTGGAGGCGAGCATCGACGCCTCGACGGTTGCTCTTCAGAGGCCGTAAACAGGCGCCTGAAAAAGGAGAGAACGCGAGACTGATCACGCGCGCGGAAAAGCCCGAGGGGCGAATCTAAAGTGCCGAGGCGCTTGCTAATCACCCCAGCTAGGGCCACGGAGGCGCTCGCGGCAGGTCTCCGCGCGCGCGCTGGCCGGTGGCAGCTGATCTCGGGCGGCGGGCGGCGGGAATGGGCTCGGGCGGCACCTTTTGCCCTCAAAAGTCGTTCGAGAGTACCGGGTCGCGGCGGGAACGCGCCCATCCGCTCGATGGGTGTCAGGAGTCGATCGCCTGCGCCAGGAGCGAGCACGGGAGTCGTCGCGATGGGAGTCGTAGCGGCGTGGCGCTCGGCTTCGAGAGAGCGACGTGGGCGCGGCGGCGCGGGCGGCCGGTGGGGCGCGTGAGGTCCGCACCTTCGCGACGGGCAGGCTCGATACGGCCGCTGGCCGGGGCGGCCGCTCGACCGGCCGCCGCGGTCGTTCCGGCGGCGGCGTCGGCGTCGGCGTCGCGAGCGAACTGGCTCGCATTCGACGAGCGACCCTCTTCACAGAACCCGGACTGCCAGCTTAAATTCTTTTGTCGCTCATTTCCCATGTCCCTCTCTCTCCTGCTCGTTACAGCAGGGCCTGGCCTGAACGTGCCGCACCACGTGCCGCTCCGCCACGGGCGGCCCGTTGCCGTTCGCCTCGCCATCGGTGAAGTGCCGGAAGGGTTTTTGGGCGAGGAGCAGGCCGCCACCGCCGCCCGCCACCGCCGCCGCCGCCCGGCTTGCCCCCGCCCCAGGAGACACTCACGTAAAGAACAACGAGATGCCCCAAGGAATTATGTCCCGCCATGCTGTCGTGACCTGCAGCCTCCTCCGCCCTTCTGCAGCTCGGCGACTGGGTCAGCCTCAAGAAGAGCACCGCGCTCGGCGCCTCTGCGACGGTCGGCCTGCCCGACAAGGCGGTCGCGCTGCTCGAGCGGGTGCAGTCAGACTCGCAGGCGATCGAGTTTGCGGAGGTGGTGTCGGTCATCGACGAGTGCTTCGACGTGACCGAGACATCCTTCCGCGTGGGCGACGTCGAGTCCGCGGCGGGCGAGAACATGGGCTCGTCCAAGCTGCTCGCGTTTGGCAAGCTGGCCGGCCTGTCGGAGCAGGAGACGCTCTGCCTGTTCGGGCAGTACTACAAGGACGTGTGCGCGAGCCCGGCGGACAGCGACCACCCGAACATCCGCGCCTTCATGGCGGGCGGCTGGGGCGCGGTCCAGTTTCCGTGGGGCCTGTCCGTCTCTGTGCCGGTGGACGGCAAGGCGTTTGGCACGTCGAAGGACGCGGTGCAGTCGGCGCTCGAGGCGTCGGCGCAGATCTCGGGCGACGACGAGTGGGACCCCGACTCGGAGATCTGGATCCCGTGAGGCGTGTGGCCGCTTGGCGTTGCGGCCGCCTCCGCGCGCGCGACGCGGGCGCCACGTAGCACATTCGCGCAAGCTGCTGTAGTCTCAATCTCTCGCGTGCCATGTGTACAATGACCCTAAAGGGTGTGGATGCTGGGTTGACGGAAATCGGAGGACGCGACCCACTTCGCCACAGACGGTCCCGCGCCTCGCCGCTAATATGGGGGACCGCTGGCCGCGCCGCTGCACGGCCCGTTGGCGTTGCCGTACCGTCCGCTGTGCAGCGGTCTTTGTCCGGAGTGAAAAGTCCAACGCGCTCGTCGGTGACGGTGTCCTCCAACCTGCGCCACGCTCGGCGAACCTCGACAGCGCCTTCGGTGGCATGCAGCTCTTTGCGCCTGAAGCTTGGAGAGCAGCTCTCCTCTCTCTGCTGCTCACACGCTCTGTGCACAGTTTTGGCACAGCTCTGTGCGGACGACACAGCTGTGACAGCGATGGGCTCGCCCTCACTGGCCCTCAGTCACTTGAGACTTGTGCTGCGGCTTGTGTGAGCGACACTGCTCGGCGACTGCCGGCACACTGTGAGACCGTGGGTGTGAGGTAAAACCACGCTACCAGCGCTTGGTCACATCGGCCCCGAGGTCAGATCCTTCTCCTCTGTTGATGACAAGACTTGTCTACTCGCTGGAGCCGAGCAGGGCCCGGCGCGCACAACCCCCTGCGGCCCCTGGTCAACTCACCCTCCACACCCCGTACTCAATAATGAATAAAATCATGCTCTAAGGCACGAGGGTAAGTAAGAGAGAACACAAAGATAGTAGCTCAACTGCGCGCGAGAGGTCAGGAGAGGTCAGAGGACTTGTCAGGGGTCACGGTACACAGAGTCCTGAGGCTCACGGCTGAGGTCAGAGCCTCTCCGTCGACTCTCGTCGAACACGCGGGAAAAAGGAGGGAGTGGGCTTTGCGCTTGGCCTCAGGCGCGCAGACCACCCGAAGGCTTAGTTCTGCCGCCGTCATACTGCGCAAGCATCCACCCGCAAAGGGTCGAGTGGCCAGGAGCGATTAGCTCACGCCCACCTCCAAATTTTTGGCGATGAGCAGAATCGCGAGCGGCACCGCGAACTGAGCAAGTTTCTGGAAGCACTCCTTCCCAAAGTAGCCGTAGAGGAAGATCGCCTCCAGGCTCGAGGAGACTCAGCAGCACTCGGGCGCGCCGTCGCGGAAGATCCCTTTACGCGTCTCGCTGCAAACAGCCTGGGTCGGCACGCGATGCGAGACGGCGGGAGTGCGAGAGCCGGCGAGAGGCACGACGAGCGCGGCGGTGGGCGCGGTAGCAGCAAGGAGAAGGCAAAGGCCGCGCATGACGGGAGAATGAGAGCGAGGCCGACAGATCTTCTTCTCGAGGTTCTCGACGTGGCTATAAGCTGTGTGCCGCTGTTTTCACGCTGCTCAGCACGCCCCCCGGTTAAGGTTCCCCGGGCCACTTTCGGGGGGCAAACCCTGCCCGGCCCCTAGAACCCCAGGTAAGGCCCAGGTGTGGCCTAGGGCATCAGAAGGGACCAAGAGGAGTCCAGTCTGAGCCATAGAGCCCATGTCTTCGCCCCCGAAGGTCGCGTTCAAATGCCCGGAACGGCCGTTACAGTGGTGTCCGGCCGGCGCGATCACCGAGCTGTGACGCTCATGAGCGGCCCCTTCTTGCTCTCTTCCCACCCTGCTGTCGTGACCGTCTCCACCCCACACCTCCATTTTGCCTTTAGATATGCTTCGATCATTAGTTCGTCCGATGCTCATTCCGTTTCCGTGCAGTGCTTTCATGAGCGCGTTCCACTCGGTGATGGGAATGTGCCACGTGTAGGCCGCGGGTATCCCCAGGTGCGCTAAGTCCTCATCGATGAGGGGCCTCATTCCCAGGCGTTGCGCCCGCGTGTCGGCCCTCTCGAGCGGGCTCAAGATGGGTTCGGCTGCGGGTACCCCGTAGAAGGCTAGGTCGGGGTCTAGCTTTCCTCGCTCCTTCCGCCGCGCATTCCGTCGGTGTCGCTTCCACGCCCACACCCTTCTCTTTCTTGCGCGGATCGGGAGGGCGGCGACCTCTGCCCCCGTCCACGCTTCGCATCCCCTTGGCGCTGGGCGCCGGGTACGGCGTTTTCTTTTTCGAGCGCGCCGTCTGGCTTTTTCGCTTCTTTTCTCTCTGCGGGGGGGGTCCTCCGGTTTTGCTCTGCTGCAGCTGTTAGGCGCCTCTGCGGCTGGTGGTGCTGCTCCTGTCACTATTTCACTGTGTCGTGGGGCCGGCGTGCGCGGTGGCCTTCCTCGGCCCTTCCTCACGTGACGCACGGCGAGGGCGGCACTCGCCACGGCTGCGAGCGCCCACCC